ATTTGCACCATATCCAGATCCACGTGTCTTTTTTGTGTTTTGGTCGGACGCTGAAGCACAAACACCTCACAACGGTGCATGGCATGATGTTGATCGTTTGGGTGGAGGTCATGAGTTGGGAGGGCTGCAACAAAGGCCATTCTCATTGTAAATTTCGACCGGAAACTGAAACGAACCAACAACCGCAGAACGCAACCCATACCAATGTCTTTTGGGATTGGTCAACTTGTACAATAGTAGAGCCAATGTGAAACGAGGTGTACATACATGCAAAACCATGAACCTGAGCCATGGATGCGGAGGGGGCGAAAAGTCAACCGTTGAGCTGACCTGGAACATTTGGACCAGACGTATTGAACATGCTCCGACCGGGCGTGTGCGAACTTTGAAGTGCAGCTCTTTTGAACCTCAAAGCGCACATTTCGTGGCAAACGCGACATTTTGCAAACCTTGAAGGGCAGAATTCGTGGCGTGCACATCACTTTGTGTACCTCGAAGCGAACATTTCGTGGGCGAAGCATTTTTGGAACCTAGCAACGCACTTTTCGTCACAGGCGGAAACCGCAAGCGCACTTTTTGTGAATCTGTCAAGTGCCGGGGCAGGCGCGGCAAGTGTGTGCCTTCACGCGTGTTCTAATTGTGCCTTGTATGTGTGCTCCCAGAGGCGTGTTCTCAATGTGCTCATTTGCGGCCAAGACTTTGATCTCTAGACCTCTGGACCTTTAGATCTCTCTGGATGTTTCTAGGCCTCTAGATCCAACCTGTTCGCCTTGAGGCCTGTAGGCCGCTGCTAGAAGACCTGGAGCCCCCTCGTTATCACTTCCACCTCTCTGGATCTCAAATTGTTTAGGCTTCTAGACCCCTTAAAGCATCTTAGAACGGTTGACTTCGCCTTTCTTGATCTCAAGACCTGTCGGGGCCTCAAGAGCTCTACCTCTAGACCTCCAAATAATCTCACTCTCCTGGACCTCTAGGCCTGTAGATTTCTGTAGACCTGTCGACCATCTACATCCTTCTAAACCTCCGAACGTGTAGACTTCTAGATCTCTAGACCTCTCAAACTCTAGATCTGTAGACCTGTTTGGGGTCTGCCGGGAAATGTTTTGGTGAGTCACATGGGGGCGCCAGTTTGGCAAGCGAACTCAGAAGGATGGAAGCTACAAAACAAAACGGGAAGAAATCTGCCCTGCAGACTAAAGAACTAGTAACAAGGACGCTACTAGGAACAAGTGCATCGCTTCTAGTAACAAGTGCCTTACTACTAGTAACAAGGACGCGAAGGGTGGAAAAGCACCAGATTCCATTGGCTCCACGCCCTCCTACCAACTGCTGCTTACAGTCTTTCAGATTGTGAGAGTAGTTGCAAGTCTTTCCCGGAATCAGCGCCGGAGCAGGCTTTGATGGCAGGGGGCTGATGACGGTTAGAGTCAGAGCAACGTTGCTTAGGCACGTTTGTCATAGACTAGACGTTTCAAACCAACAAGCGGGAGTTTGAACCTGGGGTCTGGGGATTCATACGACCTCTTGGTCCCAAGTTTTCGTTGCAAGCGCCACTGCATCAAGGCATGTTGCCTTTATATCGTGGTGTTGCGCGTAGAAAGCCAGAAAATGCAAATGGTGTTCTATTGTTTGGACGCATATACCGCGGACAGTGCTTGTTTGCACGAAATGGATGGCGTACTGCAGGGTGTTTAATTTTGTCAAGCATCCGGCAATTGGGAAAAACGTCATGTTTGAGTGAGTGAATGTGCATACAGTTTTTGCTCGGAAGGTTTGCAAACCCTTTTGAAGGCCCCGCCCTGGCTTCAGAAATCTTACTCCGAAACCAAAGGAGGTGTGCTGCAGGCACCTAGATGCGCCCTAAGATTGTCTGAGTTGAGTAGCCGCTTGCAGCCCTTGTATGCTGAAGCAACCGCACTAGCAATATGTCAAAAACGCCGAGCTTCTGTTTGAGCTTTCGATCTCGGCCCTCGTCCAGTTGGGCGACCCCGCTGGCCCAGAAGACCATTCGTGACAACCTCAAGGCGACACGCATTGATTGTGGGCGCCAACAAGCTGAGGTCACAAGGCTCATGGCAACGCAGCCTTCCCGACAAAGCGCCGCCGGCAGAGTCAAAGGAGGGACTCCGGCCCTGCACCAACAGGCACGAGGGCTGCATAGAGCTGCGTCAGGGCTGCCGTGTTGTTTTCCTTGCCTCGGGCTTGAGGGCGAGGAAGGAGCCCGCGAGGGGGAAGAGGCGCGAAGGCGTGCGCACCGGCCAGCACTGGCGTGGTGGAGGTTGGCCGAGGTTTGTCTTGCTCGAGGAGCTGAATGAAGGAAGCGGCTTCCACAACCAAGCAGCAGCGGATCAGTTCGCTCTTTGGCCGGCATGGTGTCTCGAGTCAACCACCCTTGTTCGAAGATGAGGACCGTTGTGGAGAAGCATCACCAGCATCAGCTTAATGTCCCTGGCAGCTGCTTGAGGAACATCACTAGCACCAGCGGCATCGATTACCGGGCAGTAGTGGGGCGGAGAGGCCCGTGTGCTGGCCTTCCACCACCCTGCCCCAACACACCAGAAAATGTTCCTCCATGCGCCAGCGTGCACTGCAGGTAACGATAGGACAGACTGACGTAATTGTTCATATTCATACCATCTCATTTCCTTCCTGTGTTCCCACCATGTCTGTCCTGTAGGTGCACAGCAGGGCAAATGTAAAAGTCACTGAAAACCACACTTTGGGTTCGACCAGCCACCCTATCAAGTACCACCTGGTGCCCAACAACAAACACACCAACCCCGGAAGACCCTCCAACCTTGTTGGTGATGCTTGGAGTGCAGACTTTGGCGTGCAGCCTTTACAATTGTTGTGTAGCTGGGTGGCTGACATGGGCAGCTGGCACTATCCACCATCTTTCGTGATTCTGTCCCCCGAGACTTGCGTCAGTGGCCTCCTGGATGAACAAATAAATTGCACGGGGATAAGGAGTAAAAAATGTGAATTCAGAGCTTGGTGCTCGGGTTGGTCTCAATCGGAGCTGCATGGAGAACCTTTGCCAACAAGCAGTGAACGGCGCGACTGCAACAAAGGTATTGTTGCACTGAACCTTTTCTGGTGAGTCATGCACTTTGATCTTGAACCTGCGTGCTCATGTCTGAATTGAAGTTGTTGCAATTCAGCTTGATAAAAACCCTTCAACAAAGCCCACAATACGACAAACCTGAAAGATCTGGCTGTTCAAGACATTGGGTTTGTTGCGAAAATGAAACAACGGAACAACGCGAAACAACTGTACGCTGCGCAATCAAGGTGGGCAAACTGCAGTGTCTGTGAGGGGTCTGAAATGTTGGGTTGGGACCCCGGATTCAGAGTTGATACACCTCGGACTCATCTTCCGGCTTGTAAGGTGGCAAGGCAAAATGCAACCTGTGGTCGACGGACCTGTTCACTAGGAAGGCTTCAAAACGAACCCTGCGAACACCTTGACCTCATGGCTTACCTTGCAAGTGACAGTCTCGTAAACCGTTGGCAGAAAACAAGTTGATGCTAAAACTAGCAGCCACGTCTTGAAGAAACGTGTTCCTTTGTACACTTGGTGTGTGCATATATATATATATAATATATACACATACTATGTAATCCATACGCACGAACAGGGAATGCAGCAATGTGATCAGGCGGGCAAATGAAATTTCAATCACCCGGCCTTCTGCCCACACAAACAGGAGCAAGGACGCTACTAGGGGCTCCTGGCATCGCTACTAGGAACAAGGGCCTTACTACTAGGAACAAGAAGCTAGTAGAAACAACACATAAATAGAATTTAATTTAAAGCTATATAACACTTAGAGGGAGGCTAACATTTCGTCGACACATCATCTTCGTTGTCACCAGATTCACCATCGCACGGCATCTTGGAACAAAGCCGCACGCAACGAGCTTTTGTGAATAATCATACACCCACGTGAAAAAGCACATCTGTTAGGTTGGAGGCCATCGCTAGCAGGTTGGAGGCCATTGCTATTAGATGCTATTAGGTTGGAGGCCATCGCTATTACTGTAATTGTATAGTTGAACAAAGCCAATAGGCTGGCTGATCGACTTGACCCTGTGACCTCCTTTCTGTGTCCGTGGGTTGTCTCCAACTTTCAGCTTGCAAAATCTGGAGTTTGCGGGCATGGGCTGCGAGTCTTTCAAACAATGCCCTAGGGCACTTTTGCTTGCCCATTCATGCCCGGGTCCCCGGGTTTGGCCGTTGAAGCAGCCCTTGAGTACCCTCGACTTGGCAAATGCTTTACTGTTTTGGTGGATAAATTCTTTCATGTGGAGATACCCACGGAAAGAGGCATATTCTTACCTCCAGTCCTCCCACCGCATCGCAAGTTGGTGTGGCATGACTGGGCAACATTGCGGTGAAGACGGAGAAAAATAACCCAAAGCAGGCAGAAGAACTGCAAAAACATTCAAAATTGAACGTGGAAACAAAACACAGAAATCATTTCAACAATGCCTCTACTTTGCAGCAGATAACCCACTTCTGCACCTGGACCTGTGGGCTGCAAAACAAGGCAACATGTCAAGCAGTTTAGTGTCAACTAAGGTAAAGCTTGTTGGGCTTGGACAGGTCCGCCAGCAAAAGTTTGTGCTTCACCCAAGCCAGGCCAAGCTAGGCCGAAGAGTGCGCGGCCACCGTGGGGGGCTCAAACCTGGGGATGCTCAGCCCACCGTACAGACCTTTGACTGGTCAGTTGAAGTGGATGCATCGCGCAAGCGTTGGGCAGGGGATGGGAATGGCCGGAGGGGAGGGGGCATGTAGAGGCAATTGGCGTACAAGGGAATAGTTCTCATACTACAACAAAAACACCGCGTTGGGCCAGCAATTTGTCAGCACAACTCGACACGCAATCAGAAGGACGACTCCGCATCTCCACAACAGTCGACCGTTTAAAGTTTGTGAGCCGCGACCTTGACCTAGCACCACGGCGCCACGTACTCCAAATGGGCCCAGTTGTCACACTTTTTACCGAGTTGCTCAGGGTCGTTTTGCTCGGAAACAATCCGGTCTTGCCGCAGCCACTTTGGACGCTGCAACGATTCAAAGTGTCTAGGTACATTGGCAACAGGCTGCTCGCTTGAGCATTTCTCTCTTGTACATGTTCAGGAATGCCAGCCACTTTGAGCTTGGTTTTTTTCGGCTATCTCATCAAATAGGTCCAGCCTCAAATGCAAGACACGTTTCACAGTATGGAGGATAAAAAGACATTCTACATTGCCACCGCATGCAGCAATTGGGGCTGCAATTGAATCCCTGAAAAACGTTCTGCTGGGGTGGCAGGCTTGCCTTCGTGAGAGGCTTGAGCTGGCGCATGAAGCTTCTGAAAGATACAGTTGCTGAGCCTCCGGTCGAAGCTTGAAAAGACAGAACCCATCTAAAGGGAAGGCGATACTTGTCTGGCAGCTTGCTGTTGCTGTACAAAAGGCCGTGAACTCCACAGCTACATCAAACCTATCAATCAACAGATTCAGCGCAAGAATTCTGGCCATTTGTTCGCCGAGGTGTGATCCACCTTATTGCTTGTCATCCAATCCCGTCTCGCATGACCTTGTTGGCCAGCTTGCTCAGACGTAATCCGTAGCCTCATCCCCAGGCAGATTTTCTGCACTGAAGTGATTTGAAGGAGCCCACTAGGCTTATGTACAGGGGAAGTCTTACGTAAGAAGCCATCAGATCCCAAACATCAACGAACCTAAAAGGGTAAAGGAACCGCACCGCTGTTTATATTATATATCCATTCGCACTTCTTTTTCGCTGTGGTCATGGATAGATGGTCGACTCAAGATCTAAATGGACCTGATGGATTTGACACCTTTGGTCATTTTGGCCTATGTTGCCAATACCTATTTCATTGAGCAACTCCTACCAGTTTGCCCAAGGTCTTCTCATTGGCCCGAGCCAACATGCGGGAATAACTATCAAGCACCGTGTCCTTGGAAGAGCATTTTGTCATGTGATTGGATGCAGAATACACCAAACTATTACTGTATCCCTCTACAGGATCTTACTGGAGGAAAAATATCTGAGAAAAAGAAAGATCCACGTCTGAAGTTGCAGGGTACCTTCGCCAGGCACCTCGTGATCATAGAAATCGTTGCAACATTTATGCATCTGAGCTGCATATCTCTCGGGCTTCCGACCTGGCCAAAGACTATGACTACACCGTCTCGCAAGAAACATGTTACTCTGACCATCTTCCTGTAATCACACACCTGGTGCTGCACAAAATTAATTCTGTGTCCCACACACATCCTCAAAATTTGGTTGCATTGTCCCACCCCACATCTGCTTATACACATTTTACATACTGTCAGCTGGTCATTGGGAGGGTATCGGCTCCTTGGTCGTCCCCTATCAGTTTTTGCCTTTTGCCCAAACCTTGGCTGTCCAATGTCCCTCCCTTAACTACATTTTATGCGCATAGTCTTGTCGGTTGCTCAGGCCCAAATTAGAAAGTTGTTTTCAAGAAGCCCCTCCTTCCCCCGTGTGCAGCCCCATTCTAGCCTCGTGCTGACACTGGCCGCAATGGACGCGCTCTCCTTGGTGCGTCCGCAAGGATGGAAGGTGAGTGAATAGAATCCAATAGAGTTGGAATTGCAGACCGAACAAACAGGACCTTCCTTGGGTCAAAGACTCAATCTTGTCACCCTCCGCTAGGCTGATCGGATTTGCAAACTACGATGCGGCTGTCCGTGCACTAAGCTGAAGAAAAGAGCGTCAACCAAAGTATTGAAACCCTCATGCACCATTGGACAAGCTACTCGCGGGTGGCCAGGAGCGTACCTGAAAATGAGGCTCTCAATCTCCATTGACAAAGTTGCAAGTACAATAGGTGAGAAAAAAGTATGTAAGAATTGCCTTTAACTTTGCATCCGTGTTCAAGAAGATCGCTCCATCACATGCACTGCTATGGGCTATGGTTGTGTTATGCTAAGGTTATGTTGGATATAATCTGGATCTGTTGCAGCTGGGTTTTGCTCCACATGTTCAAGCTCCAAGGCGCTAATAAGTGGTGAGTTTCGCTGCTCAGGGCTGCCTTCCTCTGGGATAGCTGCAGGTTTGGCTGGATGTGGGTAGAGATGGCCGTCGCTTCCTCAGAAACACAGTCAGCGAAACACAGCAAAGCTGAGCAAAAGCTGTGCTTTTGCAAAAGCTTCTGAAGCGATCTGCGGTCCCACAAATCATTCTCGTTGCAACCAAATCTCCAACCGAACCTCGTACAGGTGACTGCGAGCGATCTTTGAAGCAAGAGATGCAGTGTTTGGAGGTGCCCGCGGCCACCCCTTCTTCAGGATTGAGCATGAGAACTTTTTGCCCCAAACTGTACCGAAGATTCTCCAATGCACCCTCCACCAAATCATTCAGCCTTGGACTGCACAGTTTTTCTTGAAGCATGCCAAAACAAACAAGTGCGGGCACATGCCACATGCTCCACTTTGTTTTCTACATCCCCTGTCAAAAGACGCAGGGTCTCACGCCACCGGGCTGGCTGTGGACAGCAGCTATCGGGGTAATTGGCAGTTCCTCCAGTCTGCACAGCAAGGCCTGCAAAACACGTGCCTTGGGGGCACCGTTCCCAAACACCCGCCAAACAAGCCATTGAGATCATAACCCTCATGTGTGATAATCGATCGGAGCAATTATTGGTTGGAGCTAGGTACTAGGTCGGGAAGAACAAGGTGTTTCTGGCCTGACCAGAAAACCATCTCCAGCCAAAGAGTCGGTCTAGCCATTTCTGGGAAGTTAAAACAGAACATGTTCTGCACTTATACAATGTCTACAGCAATATCCTCATCGGACCATATCTTTGCCTAAAATCCTACCTGCAAACAGAACGCAATGTATAGTTTAGTTTAGTCAAAGCCTGGAAGCTAGGATGTTCAGCTAGATTAGACTCGAACCACGCTCTATGCCCACCCCCTGCTTCAAACCGATGACGGCTGCCTACAAGCCACGGGCACCATTCTCTTCGTTTGTACAATAGTTTCTTACACACCTTGTTCAAAACCGGGAAGTGACGAGGCACTGTGATCTGCAGCGGCTGATAGCTTTTTCAAGATCCAGTCGATTACGCTCCAGCTCACGTTTGGAATCAGCTGAGACAGTTTCAACACGGCCAGCAAGCCTGGACGTTGAGTTGCTGGCGATATTTCTTGCAACTTGCAACAAACGACAAATTTACAAACATATGAAATTAAGATAAATTAAGTGATTCTATAAGATTACTTACTATGCAAGGGCAGCCCCACCTGGTTTCCAATCTCTTCGCCACATCATCGAGTTCCTGGCGGAAGGCGGCCATGTCAATTCGGTCCAGAAGGTTCTGCGCCGCCTGCAGCTTCACTTTCCTGCAGCTTCACGTCAAAATTTGTATTAAAACCCCGGATACTGTCGCTGGTTCCCGAAACACGTTATCTCTGTTGTGATTGCTCTTATCATTTTACAAGGTTTTGGAGCGCGCGCGCACACACACACACAGCAAACATCTTCTCTCAGGTGGTCGGTGAACTCGAAGAAGAATTTGAAGAAGAACTCAACTTCAGTAAAACAGTAAAACGGTTCTCTGCAGTAAAACTATATGTTGACTTGGAAATGGACAGCTGCTCAGGTGAGACGTTTTGTTAACAAAAGGTTATCGCTTTGGTTATCGTCTTGTTATCACTTTTGTGACTGAATATGTCCACAGATTTTTGGGCCAGAGATCGGTATCGGTCGCACTCTTACCATATTATATGTTTTAAGCAGATCCTGGACCTCATGGCCACCTCCTTTAAACTCCAAGGCCCGGGGTCATTATACAACTCCATTTTGCGAGCCCAGAGACAAATTTTGGATGTCATCTGTGTATTCACTGGTAGCCTGAGAACAATCAAATGATCCGGCAAAGAACCCTCAGAAGCTTGTGGCAGCATGGCTGATCATACAGTTAGCCAGCAACACTACAGAAGCCATCCTACTTATAAGCAGTCTGTTTCTTTTCTTTTCGAGCAACCTCAGTAATCCGTTTCATTTCTGCCAAAAGCTCGTCCATCTGCTCGTGTGTGCTGCTGCGCAAATCCTGAAGCGGATCGAAAAAAACAAATATAATCTCATGTGATTTTGGATGCGTTCGCACTTGCCGAATCTGGACATAGCCAGCTCTCCAATACGCCAAAAGGCCCTGAGTTGTATGTCGAAGGACTTGACCATGTGCTCTCTTCTTGCAGAGTCCTTGGCTTGACAATGCGGGAGGGCTAGTGGCGCTCCACTTCACACGTCGCGGCGTAGCGAACAGTTTGAAGCTAGGCTCGTCTCGCAACTGTTCCACCAACTCGTTCACAGTCTTTTGCTTGCCTTCCTTGGGCGGAAGGAAACCAACCCGAGAGACAACGACTCAGAAAAGGAACAAACACCCCTTTTTTGAGAGCGGGGTGCCATGAGAGGTGCAGTGGTGAAAGACCTGACTTTGTGATTTTTTCTGGAGGAGGTGGAAAAGGATGTGAGTTTGTGCGTGTATGTGTGTGTGTGTGTGTGTCTGCCCTTCTGTTCTTTCCTTGGGTGGGTAGGCTGCTAGTAGTGTAGTACTAGGTGCCAGGATTTGCTTTCTAGTTTTGCGTGGAAACTTGCATTTCTTTCTGCAGCCTTGACGCAGATCCACTGCAGAGAAATCGCAAAACGAATTGGAATAACAAGCAATTGGTCACCCCAAGGATTCACAACTCGCAAACTGTTGGCAGTTACTGCTGGTGCGGATACAACAAACTGTGCAGCTTGCAAATGGTCTGGAGGGTCTGGATAAGATTGCAAGCTTTACAAAGAACAAGCTTCACAAAAGTGGATCATTTTCTCAAGGTCGTCCATGCGGATCTCCCAATCCAGAAAGCCTTGGTAGCGAGGACCCCTCATCCAAAAAGTAATGCCATGCGAAGTAGGTTTAGATCCTCAATGTGTCCAAAATGGCTCTTCGAAAAGCACGCTGATCCGGATCTACAGTAAAACAATTTCGCTAGCTCCCCCAAAGCTTGGTGAATGTGCGTCCAAGATGCGTTTTGATTTGCCACGTGTTAGGCCTCCTGTTACAGGCAGCAAAAACTTGTTGCTCAACGATTTTTGCTTCGCTCAGCAAAGCACCTTTCGGAAAACATGTTTCTTGATCAACTTGGCCACCGAGGGTTTCGCTTAGCAGAATGGTGTTCGACCAAGTTTGTCGCCTTGTCACCTAGTTTTTAGAGACTCACATAGCTTTCCACTTCTTGATTGGGTGACCAACTGACCGCCCGCGCAACTGGCTCAACGCATGCTCAAGGCAGAGCTGGTTTGATCATTCACGTGGCTCAACTGTAAACGTAGCTATAGCCAGTTTGTAGTGGCAGTCACCTTAAACCTACCTCTTCAACCGTCCATCTATCAAGATCCCAAAAGCACCTCAGCAGCATGGGCCAAACAGCCCAAAAGAATGGTGCACTGCCGGCTAGACTTCATGATTTCGCTTAACCAAACTGGCTTTTTGAGCGCTCGTTTGGCCACCCGTTTCCTTGTCAGCTAGTGGATTCGCTGTTACACCATCACCGGATCGGATCTTTCCCTACTCTCAATGGCTGTGTTTCGTCAGTGTAGCTACAAAAATGCACAAACGACCTGAGGCGAATTGCCTCTACTTCATGACCCTCGCTCCAAACGTCTCTTGGGTCCGTGGTAACAAAAGGGTTAAAGCCTCCAAAACTCGTTAAGTCGCCGACCTCCTGGTGTTCTTGGTGATGTGGGGGATTGCAGTGAGGTCAGCGAGGTTGCTGAAGCCACTGTGGCCGAAGGGAGTGCAGGTCCGTCATCCATCTCTTCCGCAAAGGCTTCCTCCAACTTTGTGAGCCGAGAGCTCAAATCGACCTGTGCAAAAAGAGAGATTCCAAGCGAAAGTTTAAGAACACAAGAACTTGGTTAGAAAACGAAGCATGCTCTTGCAACAGTTTGCTCTCCAAGGTGTGTTGTTTCCAGACGTTCAATGTTTGCACAATGTATGTACAAATGAGTTAGTTCTCCCAGTTTGCAAAGTTGGTTTGCCTTCTTCTTCTTCTTCTTCTTATTCTTCTTCTTATGCGTTCTGCAGTTCCGGAAGGGATGCCAAGGCATGCAGTGTGTCAGGGTTCTGACATATCATCGGTCGCAGTCTCTGTCGGACAATCCGATCATGGCGAAAGATACTGGCTGGTTTTCAGCGATGCGTGGAGCATAAGATCGACAGTAAAAGACCCCTGGCTTGTTCCCTGAAGAGTGAAAGCTTGAAAGAAAAGAGCCATGGACTTCGCTGGAACCCAAACTGTTGTCTTTCGCGAATCGGAGACTGGCGCAAGAAAAGGACAGTCACACGTTCAGCTGAATCAAAACATCTGCACTGAAGGTGCTCTGGGGCGTGATTGAGTTGCGGTGCATTTATCGCTGAGCTTTAGCTGGGAACAGAATTGCATATCCGGCATCGTGAGGTGAGTCTGGAGGGGAAGCGGTCAGTGGTGGTTGGACAAAAAGCACAATAATCGAAACACTGGAGATGCAAGGTAAAGGGCATGAGTGCTACGCTTGCAATAAGAAATTATCCTTCATTGATGTGGTGATGCAAATGATGCAAGTGCATCACGGTGTGGTAAATCAGGTTGGAGATTGTATGATCGATTGTATAAGAATAGCAAGTCGCAAGTTGCATGCATTGATTTTAACGGGGTCGAAAAACTGAGCAATTACACTACATACAGACAATACAATATCATGCAGTAGAATCCAATTCAATCGAATGCTACCACAATGCGACACAATGCAGTGAACGAATATAAATGCTATATAGCAAATACCATATTGCAAATTGCAGTCAGTAATTGAATATGTAAGTTTTGGACCAGCTTGAAAATGTACAATTTCAGGGGGTCGAAAAATAGAGTCATCAGCTCGTTTAAGAATCATCTAGGTTTTGGATTGGGCATGGAGTAGAAAATGTCTTCCTCGCGCTGTGTCTCAGAACAACTGATGCAGGTGGGTTGTCATCGCGAAGCGACTTGAATATTCTGCTTTGAATGGAAAACATGCAGCCTACAATGCCCGCATTCCAGTAAAAATCATGGACCAAATAAAGTGGACATGCGCAAGATTCATGTGCCTAGATTTAATCTTCGTGAGATGTTCTCAACCTTGCCTCGCGTTCCTGCAGGTCTTGGACTTCAAATTCTCTTTGTGTCAGCTGTAGTTCAGCCTGTCTAAGTCGAGCCAGAATCGCCTCCAAAAGACCTGCAGGGCACTGCACATACATTCACAAATATCTACGACTCTACGACATGTCGAAAAACTCATAGACAAACTTGAGAGAGGGGGGGTGAACGAAAGGTAGCAGGCAATCACAAGTAACCCTGGTAGAAGTGCATGACGGCGTCAAAGGTGGATGGATGTGACCCAAACAGCGACGGCGTAGGGGGCCACCCCCTGTCCAACAGAATACTCAATGCATAATCCCAAATCCTGATTGTAATACATTGTTGCTAAAGCAAGGAGAACTCAGGTAGCTGAAGCTACCTTTCGTGACAACTTCCAGTCCGGAATTCAACTCCAACGAAGGAGGGATCGCCTCTGAGGTTGGATGTGTCAAGTCCCACCAATATGTCTGGCACAACTAGCTCTGCCGCAGCGGTCATCGGACCAAGAAGTTTGGCAACAAATCACTTGCATTTGTGTCTCTTTTTGCGTAAGCAAGTAGATTTGATATGCAGAAAATTGTCTATCATTGTCAGAGTTTAATGGGATGTGTTTGCTGAAGTAAGATCAATAAATCAAACCACATCAAGACCTTCCGCCGAGCCAACGCTGCAAAAACCGATTGTCTTCAAAGTGCAGCTTCATTAGTGGCCAAAGCAAAGTTGATTTGCATCAGAAATCAAAGCTTGGTGTTGCTTGGGGCATGACCATGTGGCGCATAGCGGTTCCATATTAACTTCAAGTCTCGCTCAGAGAGTTGCAGGTGCAAGTGGCTCAGCGCTCGCCTGGCCACATGCTAAGGACATATGCAAGGAATGCACAACGAATGGGTCTCAAACAGTTTCTGTGATCATCACAACTTTTGTTGGAAACCAAGAAAACGCGTTCAAGCTAAAGACCAAAGAACTTGTTGGATACACTGTAATCTGAACCTTTGGTAAATCACAAGCACGAGTCTTGTTGCAAGAACAATAGGATTGTGCCTGACGGTTCGGGAAAGAGGACCGTTGACCAATATCATCCACCAACGAACCAAAGCAGCAAACCAAAAGTACACGGGTTGTTCCTTTTTGAGTTCCGTATGATGGTTTGTTGGTCAGATAAATGAACAAATCCCTGGATTGCCAAAACTTTTGTGGACGGCGGCGGCACCCTAGAGTTTTCCCGACTTTTTGTCGGCGTAGACGTGATTAGCACCCAGGTTCCAAGACCTTCAAAGCGCACACTGCCATCAGTCATGAAATAAGTAGGCAAGTAAGTGGATAGTGAAGTCAAGTTAAGTTAGGTTAACCTAAGTAAAGTAAAGTAAAGAAGTAAGTGAGTAAGTAAGCAAGCAAGCAAGCAAGCAAGAAAAGTTGGTAAGTAAGTAAGTAAGTAACTAAGCAAGGAAGTAAGTAGGTGGGTAAGTAAGTAGGTAAATAGGCAAGTAGATAAGTAGGTAAGCAAGTAGGTAGGTAAGTAAGTAAGTAAGGAAGGAAGTAAGCAATTAAGTATGTATGTAAGCATGTAAGTATGTAAGTAAGTAAGTAAGTAAGTAAGCAAGTAAGCAAGTAAGTAAGCAAGGAAGCAAGCAAGCAAGTATAAGTATAAGTAAGTCAGAGTAAGTAAGTAACTACAGAAATAAATAAATAAAGAAATAAAAAAAGAAAGAATGAAAGAGGTAAAAAAAGGAAAGTAAGCAGTAAGTATGTAAGCAAGCAAGGAAGCAAGTATAAGTAAGTAAGTAAGCGAGTACGGAAACAAGGAAGAAAGTATAAGTAATTAAGTAAGGAAGGAAGGAAGTATGCCGTAAGTAAGTAAGGAAGTCAGTAAATATGTAAGTAGGTAATTAAGTTAAGTTAAGCCAAGTAAATATGTAAGTAAGTAGGTAGGTAGGTAAGTAGGTAGGCAAGTAAGCAAGTAAGTAAATAAGCAAGCAAGCAAGCAAGCAAGCAAGCAAGCAAGCAAGCAAGCAAG